TATATATATATATATATATATATATATATATATATATATATATATTTCGAAAATAGTTAAAAATTAGAATTCAAGAAATTGTCTCCCACATTCGATTCGAAACAACAGAAAATTAAATGATTTCTTAAATAAAGTCGAACATATAGATAAATGCGTATGATTACTATAACAATTACTATAACATAAATGTTCATTTTGTTCAGAAATTGCCATAGTCTCTCGCAACGTGATGTTTAAACTGTTCCTCGATCTCCCAGAACTTTGTATATCTATTACAATATAAAAAAAAAAAATATTTAAAATTAAAAATTTGTTCAGAACTCACATTTTTAATTTCTTGAGTCGACGATAAAGTTCCATTTTGGCAGTTCATCGTTCCTAACGAAGTACTTCCTACGTTGTTATTTGAATATTATATTGTAATAACTTGAGTTCGACATTAAAATCGAGCACGACGCATCGGGTACGTGTTTTTAGGCGTGACGAATTATCGGATCGGTTTTAAACAAACGTGTAAACAATCATGGCCCGCGCGGGAGTACTGAGTAGCTGGTGACACATGTGTTCTTTCATATATCATCAGAAGAGGGTTAAGAAGGCGTGCATTGTTTTCAGGAGGGGAGAAATTACACACTTTCTCTCTCTCTTTCTCTCTCCCTCTCCATCTCCCTCTAACTCTATCTGTCTTTTTCTTATTAGACGCGACCCTGAGTGCTGGAAAAACGAGTACTAGCGAAAAACTCAAGGACGCGTAATAGAAAATTTCACGTTACGCGATATATGGAGTTCAATAACGTAGGGGACCATTTCGAATAATTAATTATTCGAATAATAACAGGTGGCGGTATTATAATTGGTTCTCAGGTGTGAACTATGATGAATTCACATTATAGGCAGACTCTATGTTTAAAATAACAATGAGAAATAAAATATTAGTAACACGAATTTCAAGAATTTAGATTTAACATTATTTGAATTAGAAGTTAACATTCTTCGAATAATAACAGGTGGAAGAATTGTAATTAGTTCTCAGGTGCGAACTATGATGAATTTACATTATAGGCTGACTCGATGTTTAAAATAACAATGAGAAATAACACATTAGTAAAATGAACAAATTTAAAACGAATTTCGAGAATTTAGATTTAACATTATTTGAATTAGAAGTTAA